TGAGGGCAAGCACAAGCTTTATACTCCCTAGCAGTCCACCATGCCCGATTCATAGAAAAAGGAATGAAATCGTAGCTTTATGGCAAAAGCAAAGATTTTGTTTCACATTAACAAATACTAAGCTTTTTACTATCTACTATCTAAAGCTCTAGCTTTTGATGGGAGCAATATCCAACCTCTTTTAACTAAGGAGAATTTCTGGAAAGATAAAATTTTTTTTTTCGAGTTTTAGAACTCCCTCAAACCTGCTAAAAATAGGCTAAAAAAAGGGTTCAAAAGTCTAATATATGACTTTTAAGGATCTTAAGCAACCCCTAAAAATGGTCTGAATTCAAAATAAAAAATTCTACTAATAAAACATGGGTCTGCGCAGCAGATAAGACTCCATGGTACTTTAAATTTTGAAGGCAAAGTTTCAGATCAAAAACACCAACATTAACATTATTAGAAGCATAGGAGTTTTGAATTATTATTAATAAAAAGTAACTTTTAAAAAAATTTTAAACTTAAAAAAAGAGTCTGATACCTAATCTACCTGTTCTTACATCTCTGTGGAACTCTCTTTAGATCAAGTAAAAAACCTTTGCAATCCTTTATATTTCTATAATGGCCTCTGCTAGAAGAGACTAACCACTGAGGTCAGCACCATGGTGAGTATAGCTCTAGTTTTGTGAATTTATAAAAAAAAAAGATTTCTATAAAGTGTTATCAATCTCAAAATTATTATTAGAACAGGCATTAGTATAGTTTAGGCTTTTATCAATACAGAAAATTCTTATGGAACACGAATACACACATACAAGGGCAGATTCAGAATTCAATGGTAAGGGTTATGCTTTTAGGTGGTTTTTGGTGCGGGTATTTCAGACCCAAGCATGGCCCCCACAAGGGGAGGGGCAGTTAGTACTGTAGCACTGGGGCCCGAAGGTAAAAGGGGCCTGGGTAAAATTGATATATCAATGATCAACATGTGTATGCACACGATATGTGTGCACACACATACTATAGTAATAGTAATAGTAATACAAACTGCTGTAACGACGATTGTCGCGGAGCATAAAGTTTACAATTTATACTTTAACAGCCGTTAACAAATGTTTATCTAGTCTAGCTTTAAAAGAATTTACTGTCATTGCAGAAACCACTTTTTCAGGTAAAGCATTCCAATGAGGTATCACTTGTTCGTAAAAAAATTATGTCTCGGTGTTGTTTTTGCAAATTCTCTTTCAAATTTCATTGGATGACCTCAAAGTCTCTGGGAAGAAACTTTATTAGGCTCTTTATACCACAATATCTTATCAATCCCAGTTGTTAATTTGAAGAAAGCAATGAGATCTCCTCTTATACGCCTTGTTTCCAGAGTTGTGAGGCCAATATATATGTATATTGTTGTGAATCAATATACATATATATTGATTTACACACAGACACGCACAATAGCTTTACATTTGTATTTAAAAAGTACTCAAAACAACTATTTTTTGGAGCGTTGTGTAAACTATTTCCCGGATTTTTCTCACATATTTCACTTGGTTATTAGATAGGTATACATAATTTGGCCAGTAATCAAAATTTTTTGAGTTCTAACATTTATATAGTTTGAAATTATTACTGTTTTGAAATTTATAAAAGTTATATTTGTTGTTCAGGTATTAAATGCTGTCTCAAAATTAAGACTTATCAGATTGTGAAGTTATTAAAACATGTCAAGCTTAAATCACAAACATAAGTCTGGAGCTCAAAAGAGAAAACTTAAAGATAAGATGAAATTAAAAGAATCTCGTGGTAGTGAATCAATAACCTTGTAATAAGATTGTAGAGAGTTTAACTGTAGTATCGATGCCAGAAACGAAGATCATATCGAGAGGTTTGTCAGTTGAAAAATTAGGCCAAGGAAATGTACATGGGTCCATTTCTTCTGAATATAAAAATTATGTAACATTATAGATGTTACATTATTTTTTTTACATGATTGGGAATGTTCATAATGGCATTTTTTTAGGAATTTTAGAATTAATTGGGAAGTATGATGAAATGACGCAACAACATCTTGCTAAAGTTCAACAAAATCAGTTAGAATCAAAAAGTATGAAGGGACAATCACATTATTTGTCTTGGTATTCTCAAAATGAACTAATAAAGCTTTGTTCAGACAAAGTTCTTAAAACTATTCTAGATCAAAGAAAAGATTAATAGTTGATGCAACTCCGAACATTTTGCACATTGAACTAAATGTTCTAATTCTTAGGTATGTATCTCAAAATACATACCTAAGAAATACTCGCGCTTCATAGAGTTTATAAACTTTAATGAAAAACAGGAGAAAAAATAACAGCAACAATATTTGCTAGACTAGAAAGACACAACATACCTCTCCAAGATTGTCATTCACAAGGTTACGATAATGGTTCAAATATGTGTGGTAAAATAAATGGTGTTCTGGCCCGCATCTTAGAAAAAAATCAAAGTACCTTATTTTCTCCATGTGGAGCCCATTCGTTAAACCGTCTAGGAGTCATTGCAGCAAAAATAAACCCTGATGTAATAACCTTTTTTGGAAGTGTAGAAAGCTTTTACTGCTTGTTTTTGCACAGTCCTACACGATGAGAATTGCTAAAAAAGCACATACCCTTATCTCTTCATAGTCTTTCAGAAACAAGGTGGAGTGAAAGAATTCAAGCCATTCGACCAATTGTCAAACATTATCCCAACGTACTCTCTGTGTTAGATGATATTCTTCAGGGAACTGTTTCAGAATTAATACCTTCAGCACAAAGTACAGCTAAAGACTAAAAAAAATACTTCTCGTCTTATAAAGGTCTACTTAGGACTATTTTTTGGCACAAAATACTAGCGACTATCGGCAATAAAAACGCTGTCATACAAAGCCAAGGGATATCATTTGATATTGAAACAACTCTTTTCCAAGATTTAGTAAAAGAGGTTACTCACATGCATGACTCGTGGGAAAGTATTGTTCATGAGGCAAAAGTTGTTGCAGAAGATATTGGAATAAAAGCTCAATTTCCTACAAAAAGAATCTGTTTTTCTGAACCATATCAAGATTTCAAATTCTTTGTAGTTTACCCAGAGTCGGATTTTATAATTGAAGATTTGAGATCACGATTTGAAGCAGCCAATGCAATATGTGATTTACTCTTACCCATTTTGAATTTACAGAAACTTGAGGATGGAGAGCTTAGTTCAAAAGCAGCCAAACTTATAAATGCATATAAGAAAGATCTGTCAGATGATCTACTTAGTGAAATATTTCATCTCAAAAGTATTTACAAAATTGTTTTTGGCATTGAAAATTCTCCTCTTTGCCTTTTAAATTAAATTTATAATAATCAACTACAAGGGATTTTTGCTAACATTTGTCTGGCAATTAAACTGTTTTGTACAATTCCAGTAACTGTATCATCTACTGAAATATCTTTTAGCAAACTGGCAAATTCATTGAAAACATGGCAAAGAAGCACAACCTGTCAAGATAGTTTAATCCATCTTTCCATTTTATATATTGAAAATACTTTAGCTAAGCAAGTTGATTTTAGTGATACCATTGAAAAGTTTGCAATGGAAAAAACTTGAAAATGACGATTGTGATAATGCTTATATTTTTTAACATTAACAATACTATTTAATATATTCTCTTTCAAATAAATTTCAAAATATTTCTTTGACGTCATCTTATTATTTAAACAGCCTTTCGCTTTTATAGATCTTGATTTTTGGTTTTTAATCCTCTTGGAATTAACAAGCCAAGAGCAGTAAAGATAGGTATACTGTCGATATAATTTCTTATTTCAAACATTAAAAAAAATGATGTTATGATAAGTTTTAAAAATAATGTTTTGATAAATAAAAATTGACAGCCAAATAAGAAAACTAGATTTGCAGCCAAATAAGGAACCTAGATTGACATTTTAACTAAACAAGATGTTTGGTTAAATGTCAATGTCATTTTTGCAGTTTTAATTTAAGTAGTTAATGTTTCAAAAGGGAGCATAATGGTACCATTTCATTATAAAAGTGAAGTTAAGCAGTTCAATTTTTAGGTGAATAAATCTTTAAAACCTTACAGTCTCATTAATTTGAAAAATCAATTTTGAATTGAGTATTTAAAAATCGAATCCTTTTGAGAACAAAAATCTCTAAATAAATACAAAAATAATTTAGATTTTGAAAGTATAAGCAGTTTTTTAAATAACAAACTTCATTTTTTTTAATGGTTTTTTCCCTTTTTTTATCTACCCAAGAAAAATTTTTTTTTTTTGTATGCACAACCATCAAGGTGGGAGAGGGGGAGCCGGGGCCCATTAAAGGCTCCAGCATGGGATCCTTGTTTCAGGATGTGGGGGCCATGAGGGAAAGATGGTTTGCTTACAGAGAATTTTTTATAAGTGTAAGTACAAGGTCGTTTTTTTTATGAAAAATTATATCTTTATATTATTAACAAATAGAATGGGATTTTATGTGTTGTCAAGCATAATATTGCACAGGTATTTTATGCATGGCAGTTACGAAACAACTTGCACTTCAAATTTTCCATTTAATTTGATCATTTATTTTAATGTGTATAAAAACTGCATATTAAGTGAAACATGCATATAAATTATAAAATAGGTTTAATAATGACAGTTGGATATATTTTTACAATTAAAATAAAAGGTTTTACAAATAAAGATTTTTTTATAAAAGTCTAAATATAGATATTTAGACTTTTATAAAATAATCTTTATTTGAAAAACTTTTTGTTTTAATTGTAAAAACAACAGTTAGAAAAATAATTCACCACAATGCACTTTTTGGAATAAAAAAATTGAAAAAAAAAGAATGTCTGTTGGAGGGTAATGCATTACATAAAGTTACCCCCCTTCCCCCACTTGTACACAAATAATACATAAGTTTTTAAAAATATATTTTAAATAAAAAAAAATCATTTTTAAAAAACTGAGCATTTATAAAAAATAGTTATTGACATAAGGTATACATACAGTTTGACCCATAAAAAGCCACTTTAGAAGGTAGCTCACAAATTCTAAGCAACCTGATTCCAAAACATGAAACTTCGATTCCAGTCTTCCAGCAAGACCAATTTATTATATCTTCAATTTTTATTTTGTCTAAATTTTCTGAGCTTGCTGTGTTATGACTGTGTAAATCTGTAGTAGTTGTTAGACCAAAACATTTTGATAAAGCTTCAAATACATTTTTATCCACTCTTATTCTAAATATTTTCAAAGTATAGTGAAGATTGAAAATAAAAATTTGTATATATATATATATATATATATATATATATATATATATATATATATATATATATATATATATATATATATATATATATATATATATATATATACAGTGGTTTTCATAAATTTAGACGCACTCATATTTGAGAATAGAAAATTTTAGGTATTTTAACGATAAAACAATGACGAAAAAAGATTTCGGTTTAGTTTTTTTTCTATTTATCAGACAAATACATACCGAATACAAAATTTTAAAAAAGTTTACAAAAAAAATGAAATACTAAGTAATAATTAGGTACAACTACATGGTATTAAAAAAATTAGACAAAAAAAATTATTCATAAATTTAGACGCACGATACATTAGGAGGCGTAATTTATGAACCAATCAATATTTTGTGTATCCGCCTTTTGCTTTAATACAACTAAGAACTCTTCTAGGCATAGACTCAACAAGATTTTTGCACATCGCTTCTGGGACCCCATACCAGGTCTCCTTAAGGAATTCCTTCAGCTGACCAAGTGTGGAAACTTGAACCTTTGCTAATTCATGATCAATCCAAGCCCAAATGTTTTCAATCGGCTTCAAATCAGGTGAATATGGAGGCCACGGTATTGTCATAATATTTCTATCTTTGAACCACTCCTTTGTATAGTATGCAGTATGTGCAGTAGCGCTATCTTGTTGAAGTTTCCATGATTTATCATTGAGCATAAGCAGGTCAATTGATGGAATTAGGTTGTTTTCCATACTTCTACGTATATTCTGGAGTTGATTCTTCCGTTGTATGTTTGGCACATACCAACACCTTTGTAATTGAAGCATGACCAGATTCCTATCGAGCCTCCTCCACTTTGTACAGTTGGTCTAATGTACCTGGCGTAATACTTTTCGTGAGCCATTCTTTTGACTGTTATGTTAGATTTGCGATTGATAAGCTCAAAGTTACTCTCATCACTCCACATAATGTTTTCCCATTGATCTGTTGTCCAATACCTTCTTTCACGACACCATTTTAGTCTTCTTTGTTTATCATATGGACGCAGAAGCGGTTTCTTTAAAGCAGTGTAGACTCCAATCTTGTATTTGATAAGTATTCGGCGGACTGTGCTTTGAGAAATAGATGTATTTCGCGTTGTATTGAATTCTGTGGTCAATTCTTTGTAACTAATTCTTGGATTAGCTCTGACAGCTCTAAAAAGAACACTATCGTCCTTTCTCGTGGTTGACAAGGGTCTACCTGGCCTCGTTTTCTTGCTGGCACCACCAGTGTGAAGAAAGTTTTGTTTCGTTGTCCGAACGTATTTCTCAGAAACTCCAATTAACTTGGCAATTTCTCTATTACTTTTGGTTCCTTCTTTGATGTGCGCAATAATTTGCCATCTTTCACCTTGAGTGATACGTCTTTTGCCCATTTTTTACGTTTTTTTAGTGCAAAACTAACTTAACTTTTGTTTATTTATTAAATAATGATTAAATAATTCCAGGTAAGTCATATTTATATAAGGTTTTTTGACAAAATCAATTAATTTAGGCCTATTAATGAGAAATATAAGAAAAAAACTACTAATTAACTATCAATTAACAAGATATAAGTTTTTTTTAATTGTGCGTCTAAATTTATGAACAAAATAAGTTTATCAATTAACTTTTTTGTGTTAATCAGTATAAAATGAGTAATAAACATCCTGTAAAAAAAATTAAGGTACTCTATAATAGAGTTTCATTTCCTCTTTTAAATTATATATCAAACACAGCGGTAGCACTTTTATTTTATTTTTATTTTGAGTATTTTCTTACATATATGAAAAAAAAAAATGAATGCGTCTAAATTTATGAAAGCTACTGTATATATATATATATATATATATATATATATATATATATATATATATATATATATATATATATATATATATATATATATATATATACACACACACACATATAAATATATATATATATATATATATATATATATATATATATATTATATATACATTTATATATATATATATATATATATATATATATATGTATATATATATATATATATATATATATATATATATATATATATATATATATATATATATATATATATATATTCATATATATATATATACACATATATATATACACTCACGTACATACATACACTCACGTACATACATACACACACACATATATATGTGTAAATGTATGTATGTATGTAGAGATGTGACGTGTTTTTTTGGTTCTTGTTTTTTTGGTTTTTTTGGTCGTTTTTTTGGAAAAAAAACATAGGGGTCCGTTTTTTTGTTTTTTTTGGGAAATAATCAAAAATTCATTGTTTAAGTTACTAAATTTAACTTTAATGGCAATATCTTAATTCATATTTTAATTTCTGATTTAAATAGGACAATAAATACTGAAATTTACTGAATTAATTTTTGTTTTGGTATATTAACACGGTTAAAGGTTATCACGGTTGAAGCAGTCTTGTATAAAAACTTCTTTGATAATTTTATCTTCCTCAACTTTATCTTTACTGTTTTTAGTGTATATTGACACAATAAACATTTATTTACATTTATTATATTTAATAAAATTTAACAACTAATGAATGAGACTTAGCATAATAAAGAGTCGAGAATGAGTTTTTGTTAATGGAACTAGAGATAATAACTATTTTGAGCAGCCGCCATGATAGAATTTGTAGGAAAGAGAAAGAGATGCAACTTTACGACAATGGGAAAGAGGCTCAAGTTTAGCAGATAGAGCTTGTTTAGAAGAAAAAGGGCATCATAAAAAGAACCAGCCCAAATATGACAACAATATTCTATACAGGGACAAAAAGATATTTGTAGAGGTAGAGAATGGAATCAAGAAAACAACGATAATGATAAAGGGATGCTAATTTAGCAATCAATTGTATATTTTGTGTACATGAAAGGTTAGTAGCAAATAATATTCCAAGAAGATGTAAAAAAGAAGACTAAGTAAGAGGGTTACCATTAATTAATATAGGAATGTCAACAGTATTGTGGTAGTTGTTTGCAGTAAATAACTGAGTTTAGTTAGAAATAAAATTTATAAGCTAAAATATGTGAGCCCCAATCTGTTACAGAAGTAAGATCAGATACAAAATTGGCTGCCTATTCTAAGTGATCAAAAAGTGAAGACTTTTTGTCAAGACAGGAGTAAAAACTTTAGTCATCAGCAAAAAGAGCTACTATAGATGTAGGGTTGCCAGGAAGATCAATAATGTAGATAAGAAACAAAACAGACCAAGAATAGAACCTTGAGATTAACCCCAGAAGTTACTGGAAATAAATAAGTAGGCATTTGACGATGATTATAATAAAGCAGTTAGAAAGAAATGATTTAATAATCCCAGATACACAATTTGAAGTTTCAAGTCTAATTAAAGTTTAATTGTTCAATATTTAGTTCATACTTAAGCTCATTTTCTATTCAACAGGTCCCTAATATTGTTTAAATGGTCTCTAAAATGTTTACATTAAAAAAGTCAACTTATTACTCAAATAAAGAGAAATTTTATATAAATCTTTTCTGAATTAGAATCTAAAAATAGATTAACACAAAAAATACTGACAAAAAATAGATTAAGACAAAAAATACTTTAACACTGAGTAGTGATTTTTAAAGCACCATAATATCTATATATACATACATATATATATATATATAAAGAGAAATGGATATCTTTAAATTATTAAGTAAATTTTTTTTTCTTGTTGGTAATCAACAGGAAGAACAAAAAGAATTATGATTAGGCTCTCCATACAGGGGGGAGAAATAAAGCCTTAGTCACCCATTAAACCTCTGAACCAAATTAGTAAAATAGAAAAAGATAAACAATTCTTTTGCCATAAGATTATGTCTAAAAATTGAACTTAAAAAACAGAGCATATTAAAGAATTTTGCAAGTGTTCTGATATAGTGCTATATGAAAATATTTAGATGAATAAATGTAATTAGAAAAAAAATGCTGTTAACAAATTAATTACAAATAAATAAATTACGAATCATCAGGTGAATGGGGTCTGGGAAACTCCGTAAAAAATAATAATTAAAAAGTTTTTAAATTTTCCTTGAAACTAAGTTCAGTATAAGGCTTTTTTTTAATGGGCATACTAGCAATAACTCTTTTTTTGATATAACAAACAAACAATGTAAGACTTAATTACTACATAATATACAAATGCTTAATTAAGTTAATAATCTTGATAGATAGCTTATTTTTTTGAGCATTTTAAGTCTGATATCAAATTTGCATGGTGTTATACATTAATGTATTTACATTATCAAAATTAAAATGGTAACTTTTTTATAGAATAAGAATAGTTTTTATATATAATGAGAGTATCACAGTTGTTAGTACAATAAAACAGAAAATGAACATTTTCATACAGTATACCTAAATATATAACTAACTTAAAGCTAATTTAAATTTTTTATAAAATTTTTTTGTTAAACTGGTGTTTATACATTTAATTGTGCCTTTAATGGCCAAATACTAAAATTTATACTAGATTAAAGGAAAACTAGTCCTAAATTTATGTAAAAAAAACCTGAAAAATTGTTTAAAAAAAGCAAAAAAACACCAAAAAAACCAAAAAAACACCAAAAAAAACCAAAAAAACACGTTTTTTTGACCCAAAAAAGCGCCAAAGGAAAAAAACGCGTTTTTTTGCAACTCTATATGTATGTATGTGTGTATATATATGTGTATATATATATATATATATATATATATATATATATATATATATATATATATATATATATATATATATATATATATATATATATATATATATATATATATATATATACACACACACATATATGTTATGTTTCTAAGTAGTTGTGCATAATAATGTTTATTTTTATAAAAATATTATATTTACATGTTTTTCTAGACTTTTTTTTGAGGATTAAGCAATATTTGATTTTAGTGTTAAATATATGTGTTATCAGCACTATTTCATTAAGTGAAAATCTTTTTTGATATCAACATAACCTAATAAGCAAGCTATTAAACTGTATTCTTTCTAAAAGCTGTCCACTGGGGCAGAACCGCATAGACGCACAGAAGGCACAATTGCATACTTTTGATATTTATCAAAGTTAGGTAATTATGAATAACAATAATTACAACTGTCACACTTGGATGCGTTCATGTAAAACTTGAATAGAAATAGTTTTGTTTTGAGATGTTGGAAATTAGATTTTGTATTTTTTTATTTAATTTTTACAAATGAGTTTTTGATTAAAATATAAAGTTAAAAGTATATCGAATGAGAAAACTCAGACTATAAGTACAAAGAAAATAATCTGAGCTGTGACAATTGTAAAGCAAATGTACCTAGAAATTTTTTTTATCAGTGTAATTTTTGTGTAATAATATTTTCAAAAATTCTATAATTTTTTTCTTAATTGCATTAACTTAAAGCATAATAATGTGGTTATTGAAATAAACTGTTAAAAAAAAAATTTATTTTCATATAACATTAATCCGAACATTACGGGGGCAGTTATGTCCCCCCTTTCCCTATATACATTAATTAGAGTATTAATATTTCGACTAAATTATTTGATTGCTTTTAACAACCAACATGGAAACATTTTCAAAAGCTTGTTAAATAATATATTCTTGCTCTAATAAGTTGTCAAACATTATTTTAGAACAAAAGAGAATTACCAATCCCAGCTAATTAGAAAAAACAATGTATATGAAACATCAATGGCAAGGCTTATAAAGCTTGTACTCTTATAAGAACAATATGATTAAGAAATTAGATAAATTTTATCATGAGTATTAACTCCTCAAGAAAGAGGAGTTATTACTTATTATGCTACAGATGATGCCAGAATACCCCAACTGTGGGTATTCTGGCATCATCTGTGGCATAAAATATTCTGGCATAAAATATCAACTCAAAAATCCTTGTTAAGAGAAATCAATCATTCAAGTTTTCTTCCAAGTTAAAACTTTTATAATCTTATTATTTCGCATTTGGTGTTGACATTTAAATACGCCATAACATTAAGTGTTTATTTAAGAAAATATTTTAAGCTTTTATTTTTTTTTTAACTTAAAAGCTTAAATAAAACAACTATCTGTGACATCTTTGTTTATAATAGTACATGCTTTTGTTTTTAAACAAACAAACAAAAATAAGAGATTGGAAAGTTAAATCAAATGAGATGAAAAGTTCACTTGACTTATTTTACTCATTTCTTATTTAAATTTCTAATGATAGAATTTAATCGGCTTTCTAATAATTAACTTTTAGTTGGCTAAAGTTGGTTTTAATCGGCTATAGAAATTAACTTTTAATTATATAATTAACTTTTAGTTGATTATTAGAAAGTCTAAAGCCGATTAAATCAACTATTTGTTTTTTCTTGGTCAACTAACTTCATCTTTCAACTAATCAACTTTTAGTCAATTTAATTAAAGTTGATAACAACACTATAGTATTTATAACTTTCTTTGTAAAAAACTATTCCTGACCTAGCCAGCACAAGATGTGTTTTGGACCTCTATACAATGTAATAATATGTTTTAATATGTATTTGAGACAAGCTTAAGAAAACAAGTTTTTAAAGACAAGTTTTAATGATGTCCTTGTGCCCACTGGGTAATAAATAAAATTTATAAAAAAATTTTTAAACAAACAAACCTTTTAATCAATTTAAACCAGAATCCAGAAGGAACAAATGACATTAAATATTGACGTCGATATACTTCATTTTGAAGGTTATTTTTACATGGATTTAATTCATTTACTGGCAAAAATGATGGAACAAACAATTCATTCTCAGATAACTTTACAGCAATATCAAAAGAATTTAAAAGTTCTATGCCTTTTGAAATTAGGAATCTTTCCTCAACCAAATTTCGTTTGATATCAGTTATTTTTACATAGCCTAAATATTGATATTAAAAAAATAAGCTAAATTAAAGTAAAAAAATCATATAAAAGCAATTTTAAAAAATGAACTAAGTTGGCTTTAGTTTTTAAATAAATTATAAAAATTTTTTATTTAGCTCAAATTTCTATAGGTAGGGATGTAGGGACCGTGAAAAGGCTCAACTTTTTTTTTGTATCCTATCTTAAAAGGTTATAGCTCATAAATACAATTTTTGACTGTTTTTTACTATTTAGTTGTATTACTATATAGTTGTATTTTTTTTACTATTTAGTTATATTATTTAGTATTTCAGTTAATTCATGGTTAAAAACTTGAAAACATCATCATTTAAAAGGAATCTTGGTATTTGATTAAAAAAAATCAGATTGAAGATAAAAAAAAAATCTAACCGTTTTTATGAGATGACATGATTTTCATCATGAACACAAGAATATCACACAACCATTGTGGATTGAAAAAGTAAACATCATTAAGTGCAGGAACATTAAAGTGTAAGATACTACCTAAAATATTTTGTAAACAATTTTAAACTTTAGTAATGTTAGAAAGTGGTGTAGTGTTTAATTAGGGTGTGATTATTGTTGGGTGTGTTTATTGTCAGATATAATAATATATTTTTTAACTCTAATCTTGTCTAACAAACACTGTTATTTATAGCTAATATTTTTATAAAAACAATTTATAAAAAATAATAAGTTTTTATACTTTAAATAAAACTTTATACACAAATACTTTAAAATACATATACATAATTATATACATATACTTTAAAATTTTATATATAAACACCTTTTATAAATGAATAATGTTTACAAACTTTGTGAATGGTGTATATATACTTATATATACACATTGCATCATCACATAAATTTGAAAAAATAATCTGGGGACTTTTTATATTTCCACTTATTTCTTGTTATAATAATTTTTTATAAACTAAAAAGAAAAAGAAAAAAATTTAAAATTACCAAAATGATGAAGATACTGTACAGCTTCATCTAATTCTTCATCACCATATTGAAGTTCAAAATTTTGTAAATGAAGTAACTCGAACATCTTTGACCTTAAAATAATTTAAAACAACAATAAATACAATTAAGAATAAATAGGGACTGTAGTACATGATAGTATTAATGGTACATACATTATGGTACTATACTGTACTACATTATATGTACTGTAGTACATTATAGTACAGTACTGTACTGAATTATATGTACTGTAGTACACTATAGTACTATACTGTATCCCATTATATGTACTGTAGTACATTACAGTGCTATAACTTTCTTTTTTTTGAAGAACCTCTCTGTTTTTTTTTATATATTTATATAAATTATACATACATAATAGGTCTAAATTAAGCCATTTTAAATATGACTTTATGAAAAAGTAAATTTTTAACTGAATGATGCCATTCCCAATGTTAACTGTTTTGCAGATCAGGACAGGCCATATTTATTGTAATATATATATATATATATATATATATATATATATATATATATATATATATATATATATATATACATACATACATACATACATATATATATATATATATATATATATATATATATATATATATATATATATATATATATATATATATATATATATATATATATATATATATATATATATATATATATATATATATATTCGCAGATTACTAAATCTTATATTTTATCTCTTAGGTTCTAGATACTTTTAAGAAAAATCTTTAACAACTTTATAAACAAACAAAAGTTTGAATTATCTTCTCTTATACATGTGTATGATCTGAAATGCCTTCTCTTTAAGGGTAAAGCAGAACTATTTGCAAAAAATTAGCTTCTAATTCATCTCTTAAACCTAATGACCATACTCTTCCTGTCATCTCAAAAAAAACAGATTGACTTACAGTTAGACATCTAAGTCTGCTTTGTTTTTACAGATCGAGTTGCAGTTAAATATTCTATTCTAATTCCAAAAGATATATTATGCCGATTTATAATCCAATTTTCAGTACTTTTATTGTATTTTCGTTATAACTGTTATAAAAAAATGTTGTTTTTATTACCACACAGAAAGAAAAAAAAGAGGTACTTAAAGAAACATCTAACTAATAAGTTGTGTTTATTTCATCAATATGAAAAAAATATACTTTAAAGAATTATTTATTGAGATTAACTAAATTAATTAAATATTACAAGATATTGCTGAGATGAGAAGATTTCAGCTGTTTTTATTCTACATCATCTGTTTCTAAACCTAATTATTAGATTAAAAAGAAATATTTTATTTACACACAAACTTGAGTTTTCCTTTTATAACTTTGTTTTTGGTGGTTATAACAAAACGTTCTCTCTGCATTTCAGTTAAAAAAAACATTTTAGTTTATGACATCACCAAAGTCTTTTAACAAAATGAAAAAAGCAATTAATCTTTTTTTAAAGTACTTAAAAAAATACATATGCAAAATTTAATTTTCATATTCAGCAAATCAAATTTATTTGTATTATTTTTAAATTTACATATCCTACTTATATTAGATTTGTATAGTATAATGTATAAATTTGAATGCAAAAAAAACCTTGCACATACATGAAGAAAATCCATCAAGGAACTACAAACAAGTCTCAAAAAGGATTGATACTGCTGCTATAATTGCATATTCACTGCTGGAAGAGTTATAAAAAGACTTTATTAGTTTTTTAAACAAATTTTGTCAACAACAAATCAGTGGTAAATAAGATTTAAAAAAATCCAGGTTTGTCTGATAGAGAAAGAGCTGAAGAGTGCAAAGTTCCTGATTTTTTGGTAAGGAAAGTGAATACTACAATTACAAGAGTTTCTATGCAATTAAATACCCAAAATATTCTTATGAACAAAATTCCACTGCCAAAGCACAAGCAGGAAAACTTTATAACCAAGATTTACAATTTTTAAACAATGGATTGATGGATGGTTTGATGAGTGGATGGTATTTTTTTCTTTATTTTTAATTACTTGCAATTAATATCAATAAAATATTTATTTTTTGTTATTTACTCAATGAGAATAAGAGCTTCATTAAATGAAATGATAAAAATAATTAAAAAAAGGTTTTTAAAACCTGATATATATGTTGTGGGTGATGTCTTTATAAGTTGTAAGTTTTTTTTTTTTTGTCAATCAATTTTGGGACACCCTAATGCTAAGCCTTCCCCCATTTCCTATAAAAGCAAAAAGGTATTTTATTGCAGTTGGTTTGTTTGTTATTATGTTACAAGCTGGTTTCATTGATGACAATGTTGAACTGTTGTTAAACTATGATCTATGACACTGTTAGTAACTTGTTTTTTAAAATCATTTTTAAATAAAAAGAATGCATCAAAAACAAGTTTAAAAAAAGTTCATTTGAATTAAATTAAAATGTTAGGAATACTTCAATTAAATTGTATAAAAATTTGAAAACTAATGAAAAACTAATTCATCGGTTCTTTAAAAATTAAACATTAGCCAATCAATTTGAAATAGTGATTAAACTACCAACTTTGATGCAAAAACTTAAACATTTCAAAGTTGTTGTTTTTTTCAATGTGTGCAATGACTACAATACAAAGGTAGAGCAAATAAGTATTTATTAGAAGAGTGCAGCTTATTTTTTGTTTAAATTTTTTTAACTTAGTTTTTAGTAATTTTAACTATTTAAATTACAGGAGATTTTATGGAAACCAGTATTGAAAACTAATTTATAAATTAATTTACAAATTTTTAAAAAATCATGCCAAGAATATTTTTTCTCCTAAAAAAGTTTTTTTTCTATTAATCTAATTAATTTTTTATTAAATAGATTTTTTCTACTTCTTAATATTTAATTGTTTTCATTATAAATTTTTAATTATATTTTAGATTATGTTTTGGTTTTATTTTATCAGAAATCATTTTATTGGAAATCAAAATTTTATTTGTATTATGAAAAATTACCTATAACAAGGCTGATTTCATCAACAGTTTTAAAAAATAGGAGTACTAACAGTGTCATGTTGTGCATTAATAGTGTCCTGTTTGTTGGTTGTGTTGGCTATTGTAAAAGCAATTGCATAACTTATTAGAAATGGTGCAATGTACTATCCATGTTTGATGCGCATTCAATTAGTACCAATTTGTTTTTTATCATTCTTTCCTTTCACCTTGTTATTAACTTTTTGTTCTTTATACTTCTTCCCAGGACTCTTTTTGCTGTTGTACCATTATACTGGAAGAACTGATTGATTGGAAGAACTGACTTGTTGGCCTGCACACAAAAAAAAACTGATTGAAAGAACTGACTTGTTGGCCTGCGCAAAAACTTGCTAAGGTTTATGTTTTAGAGTTAAAAGAGGGTTAAGAAAAGAATTGAAAAGAAAAAGATAAATTAGTTTTGCAACGGTAGTAGTCCCTCTCAACCTTGGGGAAATAAATAAGGTAAATAAAGTTTCTCTAATTTTTTTTTTGTCAATATCAGTATTGTTGGTGATTTTAATGATCTAAAAATTAAATGGCTTGGCTCTTGTACTGGTAACTATTCCGGCAATAAGACTCAAACAATAGCCTTTGTCAACTTTGTATAATATTTTCCAGAAAACTCAAATCACTTAACTATTTGATTTGTATCTTGTCTTTGACCCTAGCTTGTGGTTTAATAATATCTGTAACCTTTCCATTCTAACAACATTATTATCCAGTAAACTTTAAAGAAATGCAATTTACCAATCAAAATTCCATATTATTTCTTATCTAAATTTATGCTTTTACTGACAATCATACTTCTATAGTATTTTCTTGATAAAAGTTTATTTATAGTTTAGTGCAGAATTTTGACTTATTCTGTATATATTAAAAAAAAAAAAAAAAAGTTAAATTAAACATTTAAAATTACTTTGATTTTGCTCACAACCCTTTATTTTTAATTTAATGAAAAACTCTGCACATAAGAGTGTTATAGTGTTACTATAAATATTGCCTGTTAATTTAAACATTAGTTATTTACTTTAATTGCAGGTTTTGTTGAAATATGAAAAAGAAATTATTTCTAAAATTGATATAATAAAAATTATTAGTTACAATTAGTTAATTATATGAATCAGTTAATTTTATAAAGTACAATAAAACCCCAATAACTCTACAAAGGACAGTGGTTTAACTAAACGAATGTTTGATTTAAATGTAGTAAAACAATTGTTCTTGCTTTCAAGGGACTATAGAAAACAGTTTGAGATAACAAAATTTCAAGTTAACTGATGTTCAAGTTACTGGAATTTTACTTTATTTTTTATTTACAAAGTTCAGGTAACTATTATTGAGATCTCTCCCCTTAAACATCTTGGGCTCACAGAGGTAAATAAAGTTTAGCCCAAACAAAACTCAATACTATATCGAGACTATATCAGGGCGCGGAGAAACAAGTTGAGCGCGGTACTATCAGGGACGTGGTGGGAACCAAACTCACAACCTCTTGCTTATAAAGCGAGCGTTCTACCACTACACCACTACCGCATTCTATATATATATATATATATATATATATATATATATATATATATATATATATATATATATATATATATATATATAGTATTGCATACTAAGGTAAGCAATCTGAGGTCATACTGAAATAGCCTGCTGCTGGGGGCTTCAGTACATTCATCGACTGACAAATAGCCTGACTCACAGTGGAGTGTTGCTACATTGACTGAGGAATTGGGATGGGGCAGCAATCATTTCATTCATCATTCTTCGTTTTTTCTTTTATATATATATATATATATATATATATATATATATATATATATATATATATATATATATATATATATATATATATATATATATATACATATACACACATGTATATGGTATAAACTAGCCATGAAACAAATATGATGCTTTATGTAGGACTGACGATATCAAATTTCAAAAAGAGATTGTCCATAAATTGTCATGCAATTTTTGACTGTTTTTGACCTCCCCTTGTCACAAACTTGTAACACTTAAGAAGCAAGTTTATCACAAAACCACCAACCTCCCTCACCCTTATAGCGTCATGTAATTTATGGACAACCCCAAAACAAAAAATAAAATTTAATAGAGCAAAAACGCATTGCAAGATGCATATATATGCTCTATTACATATATCCCAAGATGCGTATATGCTCTATTAAACCTAAAGTTTACTTTATACTTATAATATTTGGGGTTAACTTATCTTAATACTAATTGTAATTTAAGAGTCTTATTTTTATAAGAATCTTATATTTAATAATTATCTTATGTTTTATTTATTTTATAATTTATAATTGTAAACTTTTATATCTTAAACTTTTATTTCAAACTTTTTTAAGGAAAGAATCGAAAACAAGAATATTTTTTCTATTTTTAAAAATTTTTCAATTGTGAACAGCCTTTCATTATTTTAATTTTAGTTTTCTTTTCTTTCCTATTTCCATATCCAACTCTGCACTTAGTTTTCTTTTAAGTTTCTGTCCCAAGTTTTTGCAATTGTCAAACTGCTCCATTACCCTCACTAATACGCCTTGAATGCTTATCAAACAAGTAGAGACATATCTCAACATCCGCTGACCTTGGAGCTCATTGAATGATTCCACAGCAAAATATTCTTCAATTCCTTTTTGCTAATTGGTCCGAATCAATATCCTCAAAAATCAACAATTTCAAAACTTTAAAAAAAGAATTGGAAATTTTAAAATTGGCTAAGAAGGTCTTCTGCAGTACACCTTCCTACATTGTCTCAAGAACCATGTTATTATTTGCTGAAAGTGATTAGAATGATACGTGGCATAAGTGTCATATTGTTTTTTTGTCTGTGAAAAAAAAAAACAATATGACACTTATGGAAAAAAATAAAAAATAATAATAGATGTTAAAACTATGTCAAGTAATAGCTGATATTATACCTAAAACAAAATTAGTAAATTTTGTTTGAAAAACTTTTTATCTTTGTTACCTCCTAAATTTATAAAATCTATCATTTTATATATAAAATCAGACTTTTTTTAAAAAAAAACAGGTTATTGCCTTAAAAACAGGAGAAAAAAACAGGAAAACAGGCCAAAATGGAAAAAAAAAAGAAAAAAACAGGAAAACAGGCTCTGTAGGAACCCTGCTATAAAGAGATATATTCTACTTTATGCCCTTTTAGATTACCTTTTTTTACCCCTCATAAAAACTATATATGATTCACTGCAAAAATAGCGTTTGCCAATATTGCTCTTTATTTTGTACTGAATTAATTATCTTTATAATTCTCTTATCCATCTTTGTATTAAATGTTGTGATTACATTAAGGATAAACCTGCTAATGAATTGCTATCAAGTGTGACTCATAAATGCGACATCAATGCTACAGAATTCTCCTCCTTCTATGCAGTTAACTTACAAATTTTAAGACTTACAAATGTTTCCTTAATCAGGCTTGGTCGGGAAGCGGGTGCGATCGCACTTGATATTTGACCACGGAAATTATATTTAGTTGCGAAAAGCCGGCCAGATTTTTTAGGCGTTTTGAGAACATTTCAAAAACAAGCAAAAAAGTGCAATAAGATACACTGGACCGATGAGAGACAGTTAAAAAAAAGAAAAATAGCTTTTAACGCAAAACTTTAAGCAAAATAAATACGATTAGAGTTTCAAAATATTTTTGAAACGTCGCTCTTTTATAATTTTTTTTTTTAAAAAAAAGCGACATTTTTTGTATATAGTAACAACGTACTAATAATGATTGTTTAATAAAGAAACAAATGTTCTTCAATTTATTAAAGTTTATATATAATTTTTATTTATATACTTATGTCTTATTTTCAGTGCTAGAAATAAGAGGTGGGGGGGGTAGAAGAGCTATAGTCCCGGGACACACTATGCTATGGGCCGAGAAATAGTCAAGAGGACCTATCGGTATTTTTAAGTCATTTTTACGCTGTCGCACATAAAAAAGGCCACCAAAATAATGCAGCCCCCGGCCCTGTAAAGTCCAACAAGATTAAACCAATAAAACTAACGCTATATAATTTAATTATAAATAAAAAAAGTTTTTTCAGTACCTGTTTTATGCTTCGCGTAGTTTGAAAAGTTTAACATATTTGAAACAATTCTTCTTAGTAAGATGAACAAATAATATAACTAAATCATTGAGTTACTGTGGAAATTTATTTAGCTAGATAGAAATTAACTAAAAACGTTAAATTACTTTGTAAGGAGGAAGCGGAACTGCTTAACAATATCGCTGATGATGTTTAGTAAGTGGGCTTTATATCTTTAACTAGTATTTTACAGAAAAAAAAAACTTTAAGTGTAAGTATAACGAGTTTGTAAGAATGGCTGAAGCAAAAATAATTGAAGTTAATAAACCAATTTCTAATAGATTACATACATATAAATACATCCCTTATATATAAAAAATAAGACTATACTAATTAAATCTATAATATATTTACAAAACGCTGACAAGTTAAAAAATATAAATTTAAAACATTTATTTTTGTAAACAAATGTTAGTTTAAAACATTAATAGCTTTATGGATGTGACTCCGAGAATGAGCCATTGTATTAAAATAATTGTTCGTTTGATAGTATATTCTTAAAACAATTGATGATAGAATTCTCAACGAAAAAATAACAAAAACAAAAACAAAAACAAAAAAAAAAGATTTTGAAAAATAATTCAACAGAATACTCTAGAACAGTCGCGTAGTAATTTCAGTTATTTATTAATTGAACTAATAGAATTAGTTGTTCGTAAATTTGGCGGGTTTTTTGTGTTCGCGAATGTTCATTATTTATTTTTCCGCACTAAGACGTTTGACAACATTCAAGTTTATATAAGTTTCCATGTACGTCCGTAAAAAAAAATCTTCTAAATTTACGATAAAATGAACTTATTATTTTGCGGACAAACAAGGAAACATACATAAATTGAAATGTTCTCAAAACGCCTGAAAAATCTGGCCAGCTTTTCGCAAGTAAATATAATTTCCATGGTCAATTATCGAGTGCGATCGCACCCGCTTCCCGACCAAGCCTGCTTAATCTTAATTTTTTACTTTTATTCATCTTTAGGTTAGTTCTATTATTTTAAATAATATTTATTTATCTTATTTATTTTCAAGGCACCTTTGAGAACTTAAACAAAAAAAATGTTGTTCAATAAATAATTTTCATAATAAATGATTGATGTTACTTATAATAATAAAAAACTCAAATATAAAACTTATATTATAAATACACAAACTTTCATCTATTTGAACTTTTAAATAAAATTGCTGAACTGAAGAACAACAAAAAGTAAAATAAAATATACTTTTAAACATTTTGAGTAAAAAATTAAGAAAAAAACTTTCTTGAAAAAAGTAATTTCTTGATGCCAATGTGATAGTAATTTAACCACATAAGCATTAAGTAAATAATTAGCAGAGACAAAACCAAAAACATTTAGTGAAATAGGTAAGCAATAAAATAAAGATATTTTTACCTAAACAATTTTCCATCAAAATAGAAAGATAAATCATTTTTTCTATCACTCTCAATTTTCATTTTATCAGCAACCACATAGACAGATTTTTCAACAGTAAGGTAGAACTCAGAAAAACCTTTTTCGTAAATCACATTAGCTTATCATTCGAAAACAAAAAGTTAAAATATTAAATTCTTTTTGGATCAAAATAAGTAAAAAAATTGAAAAAATAATAAATATATAAAAGGTATATATAAATGCTATTGTATCTACTATTGCATATATACCTACTATAGAGTGTTTAGATAACAAATTGTTACCCTGTTTTTGTTACATTAACTTATACAGTGTTTTCAGAAAAACAAAAAAAATAAAGAAAGAAAGAAAAGATTGCTACCCATACCAAACCCTTAGTCGATGTACATACATACATACATACATATATACATACATAAATACATACATACATATATGTATACCAGTGGCTCTAAATTTATATATATATATATATATATATATATATATATATATATATATATATATATATATATATATATATATATATATATATATATATATATATATATGTATACAGTGCTCAAAGCGGGGCAGGATGTGGCAGGATGCCATCCAGCCACATCCCGCAGTATAAACCATCCCACTACCTTTTTATAAATTTCTATATATAACAATGATTAGGCGAGATGGTATTCTTACTAGAAAAAACAACAGGAAAAAAACTTACTTGTATCTCTAACATTCATAGCAGTTTTAGATATTAGGTCGCGAAGAGACTTTATATTTTGAACTTTGTTTTGATCAATTTCAACAAAATCTATGATATTTGATTTAGAAGAAAAATATTTTTTAAGCTTTTCTAGTGAAACTGATGGAAATATTTTACTATCAGTGTTAGTTATGACAACGATGACAGCTGAGTCAGGAGCATAAGCCTAATAAAATAAAAATAAATATTGAATTCGTTTTTTTGTAAGTATTCTCTCTGCTACTGGTGCCTGTAGAAGAAGTGTACTTACTGTCATTAATACTATCTAATATCTGTCATAAAGAGCTGCTTACAGGAAGTAACTTATAACTATTCCAGGTCAGGTTCATCACTACTGCCCTGCTATTAGTATCATGTAACCCAATACTACCTGCCTCAAGTCATGCTTGTAGGGTTTGTTTTTATAGGTAAAGGCTAGGAGAAACAAACTCTGGTTTAAAAACTCCCTGTCTTGGGGCTCTTGGTTGAGTAAAGGCTAGAGATAAATGTCTCAATAAAAATACTTATCTTGGGCAGATGTTAACTTCATCCAGCTACTATCTTGTAGAAGGCCTCCTAGGCAAAGACTCAAGAGGTGAGCAGAATAACCAACCACTAACCCATTCTTCATCTAATAGGCTGGCATAGATGTAAACCTGTGGTACATTGTTTCCTGCTTTAAGGCAAGTTTCCACTCATCCATTTTTCAACGGGAACATGATAGGAAAGGAAAAAATAATCATGTGAGCATGCGTAATAAAAGTTTTTATTTGTCCGAAAGAAAACTGCGCATGCTCACGTAATTATTTTTCCGTTCCCTTTCCGTTTCCCGTAGAAAAACGGATAAGTGGAAATTCACCTTAAGATGATATATGCTAGATCTTCTTGAATCTACTCATAGACTTTTGCTTGTGTCTCCTTGATAGTGGCTATGCAACTCTTCCTGTTGTCTTCTAATGAGGGCACAGCTCTAAAACTCAGTTCAATAGTTCTCAAGCCAGCTAGTAGTAAGGTCTCTTGAACTCTGTGGTAGCACTTAGAGAGTCTGATTCAATCAAATTTTAAAATTTTTAGTATTAACAATGCTTTAAAATTTTAGTATTAACAATGTTGCACATGGATGGTGTCCCTGTTAATGCTTTTTTTGTGTGTTGTCGAGGTAACATAAGGAGCCCTACATTACAACTTTAGGTTAATTAACAAGACTAAAACAATTGCATAGCTCATTGTTTAGGATGCCATGCTCTATTTATGAATGAACCAAGCTCTCTTTAAACTTAAATCATGTCGAAAGTAACACAAAATATTAAACATAAAAAGACCATCCCACTTCCTAACTGTTTCAATATATCTTTCACAAATATTTGTGGTCTTCGAATTATCTTTACATTAGTTGAATCTTACCTCTTTTATAAGTTTATCATACTTGCTTGCTCTTTATAAGACTAATTTAAACATGAATTTTTGATTTTTAAATCTCAGTATAGATGGGTACTATCCTTTGATTAGTCATATGCGCATTAGTCATAAAAGCGTTTTTTTGGCTAGGGGGTGCACTTACGGATCAGTTCACCTATTTGTTGAGATATCTTTGAATCTTTTGAATCTTTTGAAAATTCTTTTATGTGCTTCCACTTACCACCTCTTTACTCAATCACATTTCTCTTTTGTTATTTATCATTCTCTTTCTTGTCAAGTCTGTACTCTTTTAGATGTTATTTTTGATCAAATTAACAATGTCTCTTAACCTTAACTTTTTTAACTTTCTCTTAACCCCTCTACCAATATTGTTGTTATTGGTAACTTTAATGCTCATGGCACTAAATTTCTTGGCTCTAACACCCTGACCACCTAGAACTGACTGAGCTGGAACTATAGGTTATATATCAATCTCTTAAGATTAAAATTTTGTGACTCGTTTTCATAACAACCCTGATCACTTACTGTGAACTGCTGTGACTGAATTACTGTGACTGAAAGATTTTATTGTTCATTAGATGGAGGCGGAAAGGCTAGGGCTATTGCCTATGATACACCTAAAACTTTTGATAAAGATTGACATACTGGCCTTCTCCATAAGTTTGCTTCTTATCATGTATCTAGGAAAGTTTTTGAAATTATCAAACCGTTTCTCATGGTATTATCAAAGACATTCTCAAAGGCCAACACTCTTCCTCATTTCCAGTAACTTCTGGGTTACCTCAAGGTACTAAACTTGGTCCTGTTTTGGTTCTTATCTGCAATAATGATCTTCCTGGTAACCTTACATCTAAAGGGGTTCTAATTGCTGATGACTCAACTTTATACTCCTGTATTGAAAAAGTCCTCACTTCTTAATTACTTAGTACAGGCAGCCTTGAATCTGATCTCACTTCTGTAACAGATTGGGGCACACAGTGACTTGTGAATAAACTCAATTACTTACTGCAAACAACTAACTCACCTCTCATGTAAACCATATATATAACGAATTGCTAAATTAGCATCCGCTAATAAAAGTTAATTGAAGTAATAAGACCAATAAAAGTTAATTGAGGTAAAATAATCAGCAACAAAAAATCTGTAAATAACACAAATGTTACAGAATACAAGCATTTTAAAAATTTTGTTACAAGTGCATTTTTTGAAAATTTTAAATTTTCAATGTAATTAATAGTTATAAAATACACAAATAATTTGTTAAAAACAAACCTGAATATTCTGAAACCACAACTTTAGTAGCTCCACCTCATTTTCAATTTTATTAGTAAATTGCCAAACAAGCAAATAAACTGCATGTTGAAACATAAAAACGTGATGAAATTTATTGAAATTGCACTAAACAGAAAAAAATTTAAGTCTATTCATTTTGACTTCTCAAACTTATTTTTATTTTTTCCAACAAAATTTTGAATTTTTTTAAATTAAGCTTTCAACATTAAGATAAATTGAAAATTACTAAAAAAATAGTTTTATGTTATGCTTAAGTTTCTAAGTTAAGTTTATTGCTTAAGTTATAGTTTTAAGTTTCATTAAAAAAAAGTTGACTTCAAACAACCACATTTTTTATTTAAAAAATTCAATTTCTTTTAATTATACTTTTACATTATATTTTAATGTATTTTTATTGGAAATATCTTTTTTAGTGATCATCTTTTTATTGTAATTAATTTTTAATTTTATATTGTTTTACTAATGTGTTTTATTAGAGTTTACAAAGATGAGTTAAAACAGAAATTCATAACATTTCACTATTATCTTTATTTCAGAAAAGTATCTTTAAATTAACTACCCTTTTTATCAATATTAATAATAATGTAATGAACCCAATATTTATCTTTAATTATTTTCAAAACTTTCTAATTACCAAAATAAAGCTAAAAATATATTCTTAAAAAACTTTTTTTTACATTTAGTTTGACTAAATTCTTAAAGGATGTTAGAAAAATGGTTAATAAACCATCTTTTGGTTATCTTTATGAAAAATGTTGTTAATAAAATGCTTATCATTAATGGGACGAAATTGAAAAGAAACTATGTTTAGTGGAGAGTTGAAAAGATACAAAGTTAGTAAAAAAATTAAAAAGAAATAATGTTTAATAAGAAAATATAGTGTTGATTTTATTAAAGTAAAATTTATTTAAAAAAAAGAGTTTAATTTGCTTGGTGCCAAGGATATAATTTTTTAAAGTAGCTGTTTGCTTAATTTTTTAAAAACTTATATTTAAAAGTTTATTGAGTTAAAAGGATATGCATATAAAAAAAGTTCTTGTAATGAAAAGGTCAGCGTTGGGCAATACCTAAACACTGACCTAAAAGCTTTGAGGTAATTTTTTATCAACCTTGTATCAATGCCAACAAAAAATAGTTTAAGGCGGGTAATTTATTGCAGACCTTTAAACTTTTTTTTTTATCTTATTTTTTCTAATTCTGAGGGCTGTAAAAAATGTGTAAAAGTGAAAAACACAAAGTTAATGAGGCTTGCATAGATAATAATTTCAGATAAAATTTTCAACAAATATTTAAAAAGGTCCCTTCAACAAGCAGCTTCTACAAACTGACAATTTTTTCAATTAATGATCATTTTGGTTAGTGTTGTAACTAATTATTTTTTCAAATTTTCAACCTTAATATTTATTACTCTCCAGACAAATTTCTTTTTTTAATTTTATCGACCTTGCCTTTCATTTCATATCTTTTTTTAATTTTATCTACCATATTTGTTTTGCATTTAAAAAATCTTTTTTTTTTAATTTTATCTACCTTAATTGTCTTTCATTTTATGAAATCTATAGATTTTTTTTTATCTACCATATTAATTTTTTACTATTTTCATAATTATCTTTTTTAATATACTTGAAATTCTTTTTAAAAAATATCATTAAATTTACTTTTTAAATATCACTAAACTTATTTTTTTAATACCACTAAACTACTTTTTTAAATACCACTAAATTTATTTTTTAAATATCACTAAATTTATTTTTTAAATATCACTAAATGGAAAGTAAAGCAAGGGGAAAAGATAAAAATAAATTTACAATTTTAATATTTATCTACCTAGTGATTACCTCCTTACCTCCCAAGTGATAAAATTCATCCATTTCTTTTCATACATATATGACCAGTGAGAGCAGTCTATTCCAATGGTTGCAAATGTATTAGTGGTGAGTTTGTATCCTAGTAATAATAATGTAACTTAAGATAGCAAAAGATAAAGAAAGCTATTGTCAGAAGAATTAAAAAAATGCAAATTGAGTCAGGAAAACATAAAAATGGGAGAGATTTCCAAAGAATCAATGTTCAAAGAAAAAAAACTAATAAAATTTTTTGAGCATAAAAAAACAGCGAAAGAAGTCACACAAAAATCAAGTTTTGATTGATGTAACAAATGGTAGCTTGCTTCAGCAGAAAGCATATTAGTATTTGTAAAAAAAAAGAAAGAGATGCCACCTTACAATTAAGGTGGCATCCCTTTCCTAGGTCAAAACCACTTACAATGCATTTTTGGATCTTTTCTAAAAGAGAAAGAGTCTTAGAAAAACAAGCCCAAATATATTTGAAAATATATTAAATCTATTCGAAAAACAAGCCCAAATATAACAACAGTATTCCCTGTAAGGACAAATTAAAGACTTAAGAGGTAGAAAATGAAATCAGGAGTAAAAACATGACAAGCAGGATAAAGCAAGGAAACATTAGCAGATCTTAACTTAGCAATTGATTAAATATTATGCTTATATAAGAAATCAGTAGTAAATGATAATCTGAAAAGTTATAAAATAGAAAAAACAGTTTTTTGAACTGCAAAATCGTGATAACTAGCAGTTATGATAACACTTTATGATAACTGCTACCAGTAAAAAATGAGTTGTTGTTTTTTTTTTGTGGGGAGGATGGGGGGAGGGGGAGGGGGGAGGAGGTTAAAACTCAACAGCTGTTTCACCCAAAGCTGTCACAGAAGATAAATCAGTTTTAAGATTGGCTGCATGTTCAAAGCAATCAAAAAGTGTTGACTTTAAAAACTGAAGTATATAGTAGCCTCATCAACAAATAGTGCAACTATAGAGGTAAGATCATAAGGAAGTTCGTTAATATAGATGAGGAACAACACAGGACTAAGGAAGAAACTTTGTGGTAATCAGAAAACAATAGAAATGAAGGAAGGTGTTGCCTATAAATGACAATTTTACTACTGGAATTAGAAAGAAATGCCTAAATAGTTTTAAAAGTATTTTCTGATACACAACATGAAGCAAGCTAATGACAAAGACCAGCATGTCAAGCTTTATTAAAAGCTTTTGAAATATTAAAAACAATAGTCCTTGTTGCTTCAATCAAACTTTTCTGTTACACAGGTTTATAAGTCAAGTACAAAAAAAAGGGAGACATGTGGATTCATACTGATTGTCAAAGAGTAAATTGTTAGAATCAAGATAAAATATTAGAAGTTTGTTAATTAAAGATTCAAAGAGCTTGCTAATAATAGTAAGAAAACTGATTGGATGATAATTAGAGGGGTCTTAACAATCTCGAGAGTTTAAAAAAAAAAATGGAACTACAGATGTCATTTTCTGGCAGGAAGGAAAAAAACTTTTAGTTGAAAGCAGTAATTAGAGTTTTGACGAATTTTTGACTGTGGCTGGACTTATTTTGTAAGACTGTGACTGAGTCACTGTCTTACAAAATAAGTTGTAGAAGAGCCTGTGTAGGAAGTAACTTGACAACAGCAGAAGAATGTCTAACAGTGATTCATTCTATTTCTTTGAGATAACTGGAAAAGCGTGAACATTAGATTCATTTAAGAAAAAATTCTTTGTAATTTTTCTTGTTTTTGGGAAAGGTAATAAGATTAGAGTCATATATGAAAGTAATCATATATTACTATTGAGAGAAATCAGTGCAATACCTTATTGCACTGGTTTTTTGGCAATAATAAAAACACATTTGTTCTCAAGAGTGTTGATCTAAAAATGATTATGATTAGAAAAAGAAGCGGCAAAAAAACAAAAGTTACAAGGTAGGGAGGGGGGGGGGGTTGAGGTTTGAATCGATAAGAAGGAATAAAAGTTTTCATGCCTGAATCCAGGAAGTTAAAAAGGTTGCACACCAGCCTTGAAGTTGTATTAAGTGCAACAATAGGGTAAATCCGAAGAAGTTCAAGCTAAAAGTTTTAGTGAGATCATAGCAAGATCTGAACCACATAAAGAAGAAGAAACTAAGTACAAACTTAGTTTCTTCAATCCTTGATTTGTTTCTGACTCTAGTTTGTGTTCAGTAACTGAACACAAACTAGAGTCAGAAACAAATCAAGGATTGAAGTTGAGTGATTAGTGTTGTCACTTGAGCAAGAGATTGAAAAATGCAAATGTTATAAGTTTTTATTATAAACTAAAATTAGCCAGTTAGTGGTACTAGAGCCACCAATAGAATGTTATGAACATTAAAACTAACAATAACAACAACATTGGCTAAGGAATAAAAAGAAAGATCAATTTAATCAAAAGCAACATCAAAAAGAATGCAGAACAAAAAACAAACAAGAAAAAAAAGAAAGGTGAACAATTAGATCAAAAATTAATGAGAAACACATAAAACAGTCAGAAAATTCAAACCTGTATTAAAAACAAGTAGATGATTTGATATGTAACCTTAGCAACCTGTATTAGAAAGAAATAGGTGAACTTATACATAAGTAGATGCAAAGGCCAAAAATGTGACTATTGAGGAGTCTTAATAAGGTTGGGGTAGGTGGAAAAAATTTCTGATAATTAATAAACATCACATCTGGAGTATTAAGCACCTAAAAGTTTTAGTGATTCATTTAATGGTCTTATTACAGATGTTAGGACTAAGTTGCCAATTTCCAAAGTTGTTAATTTTGTTGTGATTGTAAAGATATTTTATAAGATATTACGTTGCACTTTTTTTCTAACCTTCAACAAGGGATATTTAGAGTTAACTTCACCTAGCCAAGAAAAGCAAATCCTACACAGAAATACTGTTTTTAAAATATACTTTTCTACACAGAAGTATAACATTAGTTATAGTAAAATTTATGAGTAGCGTAAAAC